TGTCTCTGCCCTACGCTCACCAGCAGCAGGGGGTCGCAGAACGCATAAACCGGACCTTGCAGATGACGATGCGAAAGCTGCTCCTGGGGATGAGACTGCCCACCACACTGTGGCCAGACGCGATGACACGTCCACCTGCACAACCTATTTGGACTATCTCCTAGCAGTCGAGCAAGCAGGAACTAATCGCACTATCTTCGGCTGAAGCAGAATATATCGCCCTCTGTACTGCGACCAAGGAAGGACTCTACCTACGAGAGTTGCTCGAGGAAGCGAAGATCGCGACCCTGCCCGTCTTCTCACTCCTCTGCGACAACCAATCTGCGATCAAAATCGCGAACAAGGACGGCTTCGCCAACCGAACCAAACACATTGCCCTGCGGTACTTTTTCGTCAAAGATGAAATCGCGAAGGGGAGACTTCAACTCAGTTACTGCCCTACAACAGAAATGGCCGTAGACTACCTGACGAAGAAACTGGCGAAGGCGAAGTTCGATTACTGCATGCTGCTGACCGGGCAGACAAACGTCACCGGATCTGAACACGTCAGCACTCCAGAAATGAAGGGGAGTGTTGGAAATATCTCAAAGGACTTAAGCGTTTCTGAAGTGTAACACTACACTCGAGGAAGATCACAACGGGTACGCGAGTCAACGGAGGTTACACGAGGGGGTGGACAAAGAACACGAAGGGACTCGAAGGGTCGCAACTGGAGGTTGCGACTGACCGTTAAAACAGCGCGGATGGTAACCGAAGCAACAATCGAGTCGCTGTGCGACTCGATAAACCGCTCCTGCAACTGTATTCTACAACTGCTTTACTTTCCTATTTTTCTATATATTGCTGTATGCTTGTCTCTTTAATCAATCACTTGTTCTCATATACTAGTACAAGGGTTCAACCACTCAAACTTCCGCTGCACTACTCAAGTCTTTTACAACTGGGACTTAGTCTCTGGAAAGATCCTAAGGGCTTTTCTCAGCCCAACATCAATTTTTTTTTCACCCAGTTCTGCCCAAAATGGGCAATTTCTGTGTTGCACAGATACTACTGCATGTGTAGGTTTGCATTGAACTTGCCACAATAATGCAATCTCTTTAATACACAAAAAAACTGGTGTTGCGTGCGTAACGTTGACCGGCATGTTCCGGTTGAAGATGGGGCCAACCCTAACGCCCAACATGGTCGAAATCCATCGTATCGGGTGTTCGGTCGCATGTAGGCCAGTGGGTTGCTGTTGTCCATCTTGTGCACTCTATGCTGTGCACGTATTGACACGTCGGGTTACGTTACCTGCATGCCTTTCTTGTCCAAACATCGTTGTCTGTCCATACTACAGGAACGTGATCTGGGGCAGCGCTGCTTCCATATAACCACTCATCAAACGACAAACAATCAAAATTTTGTCACGTCGCGAGACACAAAGGCGAATAAAAAAAATGCCTCAAAATTATCACTATTTTGATTCAGCCCTTTAGAAATGTATAAGTCATATGCGAGAGACTCCCGAAACACGGCTTGTAAAAGAAAATAGCGTATAGGGCGTACGCTACGGGCAAACGGGACTATGGAGTTTCCATATCTAACCTCATCAACAACATGCCTAGGAGGGTGTAGGCGGTGATCAAGGCCAAGGGTCAATGGACTAGGTACTAGTAACGCCGTTCTAAAGTTCCTATCCATGGAAATATTTGTCCGGATGTACTCTTTGTAGATCTTTTGGAGTTTGGGTTCGTTCCAATGTACTATTCCGGTTTTTGGCGCTGTAAATACATCCAATATGTGCCCCTCCCAAAGTGTACCACCATTAAATATTAGGGCTTAATGTACAGTGTCCTGCTTGAAAACCCTACTTAATGTTCAACATCCGGCTAATTATTTTATTCTTTGTAAATTGAACTATAGAAATGACAAGTAGTAAAGCATCCTTCAATGCTCGCCTTCATTCTTGATGCTAGAATTTGGTGTAGATGTCGCCTTTATCGCAGATTCGGATCAGGTCTTAGCAATGCTGAAAATTGGATTGCGAAAGTTTCTTGGTAAGGAAGTCTCCAGTCCCTCGCGAGCTGTGACACAGGCTGCGACGGATTCCGCTTTGGCTGACAAAGGCGATGATTTATTGCTTTGTTAAGTTCCAGGAAAAGCCTCTAGCAGGTTTGACCATGAACACAACAAATGTAGCTGGGCAACGCCAGACATTATATAGCAGGTCATCAATGTATGCGACAATAAGAACATACTCACCATGAAATTCTAGATGATGCATCTCGAGATCGTGGGGTAGTTGAACAAAGTTTGGAGAAATCAGGACCCGGTGGAGATGCAGCTGCAAGGAGACTGTTTGTTGCCACAAAGAGATTTCAGGAGTAGGCAAATTTGAGAACCGTCACAATAAGTGTGGGACAGCTTGACCAAAATTTCCACGTCAGCATAAGGAAATGCATTTTTACATCGAGGTGTCAAGGTGCTTGGACGGTAGGTGCCGACAGCAACGAGAATCCTCACGGAAGTATGACGGTTGACCGGCATGAATGTTTTATCATAATCTACTCTTAGCGTTTGCTTGAAACCCGAACGACCCATCCCCCCTTCAATCTATCGAGTTGGCTAGCTGCATTTGTCTTGATGCAGATAACCCACTTGTCCGATACTATATTATTCCCTTGGGCCAGATGCTTTGGGTACAAGTTTCCAAAAATTGCGTTGCTCGAGTCCATCCATTGCTGCCGTCTACTTGATAGCATCAGAGCCAGAGGGAGCTTGCCAAGCAGTTTTGGGCTCGATCCCTGCGTTGGTTTTTGTACACCGGCAACGAGGCTAAGAATTTGGAGAGCAGTTTGAGTAGCACGTGGATGTTCTTTACTGCGTACTTCGACCACATCTTATCTATGATTTTAGTAAGGATATGACGTTCTCCCTCGTGTGAAGCTGCATCTATTCACTACTGACAAAGCTGTGGTTGGAGTATTTGAACCGAAGAGGTCTCGACAAGGCTCCGTACAATGATTGAAACGTTATGTATTGGCTGACGTGGCTGGCGTTGAAGCCGAGGGACCAACTGTCGTGTCTGGAGAAGAATAATATTCATCTGTTGCGTCAGCTTTATCCTTTGGAGTGGTACAACTTCGTCCGTCATTGTAGCGAGCATGGCTATGCGACCGTTGTTCTTCGTCTTGTTCGTAGTCATCGAGGAACAACTTCTCGTAGAAGAGGAAGTCGTGGGCATACATTTTTCTTTGAGTTTCGTAGTCCATGAGAATCTTTAGGAACAGTGAGGTGTACTCCCCAGCGAGCACGTTCGTTAAATCTGCCCACTGTTTCACTTGGAGGGCGATATTGAACCATGCAGCCCCACACACATAAAAGACGGGTGTCAACAGGCTGCTTTGTCCATATCACGTGAGCAAATTCAAACGTGGCAGGATTATCGAGGAGAGCACGTTGTATAGCCTAGCAGCTTGCGCCATCGCATGCGGCCATAAATTGACTGGCTGATGTGCTTGCTGCAAGAGGACCCCCATCTTCTCTTGCAATGTCTTATTTGTCCGCTCGTCTGTGCAAATCTGCTAGTGGACAGTCTTGCACTTCAAATTTCCTTTCTTCCGAGATACTGCACTATTTGAAGGCATTGCTGGTGTACTCGCGAGCGACATCTATCTGCAGCTTCTTCAACCTTGGTCCACTCTGCCATTCCGCTGCCTTGAGTAAGAGAGTTCAAATGCATTAAGAGATTCACTCTTGCGCGACAGGTTCTTGTGCCTGACGCGTCTCATAGCATCGATGAAGGTAATTGCGTAGCGATTTTCTTCTTTTCCTATGTCATCTGCTTTCGGTGTCATAAATAGGATGTCGTTGAAGGTACCATCCGTTGGATTGTACGTGGAGCGTTTGGAAGTTTGATGGGCAAGGACAGTGTGTCAGGTGAGCAATGGTGCAAATGGTGCAGCCAGTTTGCCGATTGCTAGGACACAGTTCTTTGTCAAAGACACTTGCATGGAGGGAGTGATTGAGAAATTCTTGGGAGGGATGCCTCCACCGCTGATGCCAAATCTTTGTTGTCGTGCGATTTTTCCTGATCGTCCGTACAGGCAAGGGTTGACGAGAGCGTAGACGATTTGTGGATTGTTGGTGCATGATTGACGCTGGAGTTGTTGCGTTGAAGTGGAATTTAACCAGCTTCTTCTGTGGTTTCGACGCAATGTATGCCAAGGGCATGCCGTTGTGCCCATGCATCAGGTATGACTCGCTCGCGTTGTTTCCAGGTTGTTTCCAATTCCACTTGTACTTCGATTTTAGTGGCTACTGGCTTGTATTCCCTTGTACCATCTCCTAATCCCGATTTTCCTTCTGCTGCTGTCAACATACCCCAACTTGTTGAAGCTTTTGCAGGTGTTGGAGATTCGTGGAATCGGATATTGGTTATAATGGTCTACTTGTTGAGATCTCGTTAGTCGATGCACATGCACATGCTTCCGTCCGGTTTCGGTGTGAAGAGTACTGGGGCACCGTACGGTGAAGTAGATGGTCGGATGAGTCCTTTTTCGATGAGATACTCCTTTTTCGTCTGTTTCATGTTGGCTAGTTCTGTAGGGCCGAGCTGGTATGGTGCTCGGAAGGTCGGCTTCGAACCTGGTTCCTCCATGATCTCGTGTTGGCGCGTTCGGTATGGCTCGTTCGGGAGGTCGTCGAGAAGAATGTCCTGGAACAACTTTAGTAATTCCTTGATATTCTCTAGAGGTTCTGAGGCTTTCTTTCCGTTTTCTTCTGCATCGGTTGCTATCGCTAGGAACACGGTGTCGGTTCGTTTCACATCCTTCTCGAATCTGGCGAGTGTCTCTATTGGGATATATCTTGTGTCGTCCCAGTCTCTATACGTAGACAGAATCACATGTTTGTTGACAAGGGGGTGTGTGTTAACGAACAAACATAAGCTAGGTAGAATATAATCCATCCTAGCTGGGTCAGCTCTTAGGGAGTACAACCCCATACTTGTATCTTTCTCTACATTCGCTAGTGCCTTTCTCTCACTAGTTTGTCATCAAGTACTTATCTCTGCCAAATACCTATCCATGGGCTGCACTCAGCCCAGCAGCAAGAATACATCACGCATGAAGGTCCATATGATCTTCATGATCTCATTTCAACATGTGCCTTCTCCACTCCACAATGAAGGCATCAATCTGCCTACAAAACCTCCATTCAGATCCACCTCACTAAGAAAATGGCCATGCTACATCGGCGATGTGCTGAAAGAAATTGCAAGAAGTTTTGAAGAGACTCGTTATAAGAAGGTTTGATACGGATGAAGGTCCTCTAGACTTTGCATGCCAGGTTGACCAGAAGGCCTCCACTGCACAGCACACACACAGAGATAAATCAGAAATTAGAAGAGCACAAGAGTACAAGAGAACAGGGGAAAGCAAGCAGCACAATCCTATGCAGGCAAAGCACCAAATCACATGGCCCCTTGTGCAAACACCTGGTTACCATGTTATCCGTGCTGCTGTAGCTCGCTGCTGGGCGTGGATAACGTAACTCTGGGTGTTGGCAAAGCCCAGATCATGTTGCGGCCCATGTAGGCAGGACGATACCTGGTTACCTGGTTACCCGGTTGCCACATTGTTGCTGATGCGAACCTGGACGACTCCTTACAGCTCACCGCTGGGTGTGGATGGCGTAATTCTGGGTGTTGGCAAAGCCCCAGATCATGTTGTTGTGGCCCGTGTAGTTGGGAGGAGCAAGGCCACCCTTGCCAACCCGGGTGAACCTAAAGCGTTGAGATGGGAAGAGGGAGGAAACGATTGAACGTGAAAAATGGCATGCATAAGAGAGTGAGAGTTCGTGTGGTTGGGGGGGCGCCAGGCTGCCCGTGCCAATGTGTATGAACCTGACACGGTGAGGTGGAAGAGGGAGGGAAAGCAACTGGCTAGAGAAACAGCAAGGGAAAGAAAGCGGCCGCTCGTGTACTTGGGGGACATCGGGCCACCCTTGTTAACCTAAAATGGTGAGATGGGAAGAGGGAGTGGAAGCCGGTTAACGAGAGAAACGGCTTTCAAGAGAGGCAGACAGACAGCCCTTGCTCTCTCACCATATTTGGCCAAGAGAGTGAGTGCCCAAGTTGTTGGTGCCTACTCAACCCACTCACTCACCCTACGTCTCATCCACCCTACTTCTCATCCACCCACATCACCACCACACTCCCCCACTTCTCACTTGAAAATGGTGCGGCCTCCAGTGGTCCTCTGCACACTTGCACCCGTCAGCTTGACTCTCTTTGTCTCATTTATCTTGCTCATCGATTTCCCCGTCATTGCATAAGCAGCCACCCTCCTGCCACGTGGCAGCAGCACATTGCCCACGATCGCATCGCCTGGCTGCATCCGATTGGCCCGCTGTGTCCAGCCAATCGAGAGCCACCCCTTCTCGCCCCCGCTCCTTGGCTTGGCCTCCAGAGCCCCGTTCATCCCCGTTTTAGTAATGGTCCAGTGGAACACGAAGAGACTGCAGAGAGGCAAGGGTATGGGACAGGGGAAGGGAGTGAGACAGAGCAACGGAGTGGGACAGGGGAACGGGTATATTTTTCTTGCCCCGCTTTCAAGCTTGGCCCGGAGCTGGCTTTTGAGTCGACTCAAAAGGGGATGTGAGTGGGACAGGGCAACTGATTTATTTTTTTCGTCCCCGCTTCCAGGCTTGGCTTCCAGAGCTCCGTTCATCCCGGTTATGGTGATGGTCCAATGCAAGAGGAAGAGACTGAAGAGGGGGAGACGGAGACGGAGGGCGAGGGGATGGGACAGGGCGAGGGGATGGGACAGGGCAAGGGGATGGGAAAACGGGAGTCAACTCGACCTTACTCCCGGGCTTGGCTTCAAAGGCAACGCTCATTCCGGTTCGAGTAATGGTCCAATGCAAGAGGAAGAGACTGGAGAGGGGGGGAGACGGGGAAGGGAGCGGGAGAGGGGGGAGGGAGAGGGAGAGGGGGGAGGGAGAGGGAGAGGAAAGACGGAAGGTTGGTGGAGATGGGCGAGAGCAGATTGCCTCACCTGGCGCTGGAGAGGGGGAGGGGGTATAGGGGGGAGGGGGAGGGGGAGGGAGTGGAGCAGAAAGGGGAGAGAGAGAGAGTGAGAGAGAGAGAGAGAGAGAGAGAGAGAGAGAGAGAGAGAGAGAGAGAGAGAGAGAGAGAGAGAGAGAGAGAGAGAGAGGAGAGAGGAAGGGAGGAAACCAGCCTCACCTGTCGCTGGAGAGGGCAACAGCTCTTGAGTATCCCTTCATTGTGGATCGCATACAGGTGGCCGGCACAGGCGGGGGGGAGGAGGAGGGGAGCAGCGGGAGGAGCGGGGGGCGTTTCAGGCGTGCCCACATCTTCTAACGGGAACATGCTTGTAACGGGGACGTGGTGACGTGCCAGCACGCCATTGGACGCCGCCAGCAGGAGGAACGCCGCGGCGAGCAGCAGGGCCGGTGATGCTGCTGACGTGGCAGAGCGGGCCATGGCGACAACTCCTTAAACTGAGAGAGTCAAGCGTCGGCGGCGGTGGCGGCGGGCGTCACGGTGTGTTTGAGAACTTTTCACAACAAGCGCACTCCAAGGAGCCAACTGATCACGGGGAGAAACGCGACCAAAAACGCCTGAGAGGTTCGAGGACTAACCCCGAGGCAGCAAAGCAGCAAGCTCTCGGAGAGCGTATCACAGCAGCCGCCCTTCAAGTTGGAGAGGCCACCAGCGGCCGGCCTTTTATGCTGTTGGGCCCAAGAGCCGGCCCAGGTGATAACAGCCCTCGTGCGTGGGCAGTATTCCTTTGGGGGCAGGATCTCTTTTTCCCCGGGGCTGGACCGTTGCCTTACCGAGTGGAAGCCACGTTGCGCCAGAAAGGTTTGCCCGAGCACAGCCGCCACGTGCTGGTCGCTGATTGGCTTGAGAAGACCCAATCTCTTGCGCCCTCTGGTGGCCCTGTGCGCAGCGAACTGCGACCCCATAGCTTCCGCCGCTTTATCCTGGCAGGATAAAAAGAGCCGTGCGGATGTGGGCTAAAAGCAGCGCGGATGCGTGGCGATGTTGTGGGTTGCGTGAGACAGTCCGTGCGACGGCGCGGGTGACGGACGAAAACCCGCGCGATCCACGCGGCGGGCTCGTTTTCTTCGCCAACCCGGGAAAAATAGATGAAGAATCAATCTTCTACCCCTGCAAGGCACTTTTTGCCCCTCAGTTTTCTTTCATGTCACAACAAGCGTACGAGTGATTGATCGGCGACGGGATCGACTCCACTGGCATCGCGGAAAAGTGGACAAAATATCACGGAAAAGTGACGAAAGCGTGGGATTTGAGATGCGGAAACACTGTAGCTTTCAAGCTCCACTCAGGATGTGACGCTGAATGTCACAGAAAAGTCATGGAATGGCTTCGCCACGTATGATTTTATGTCACGAAGATGAATGACAAGGCCACATTTCTGTCCCTGTATTGTGACCACAGCCACGTGGCACCACAATCTCGCCAACCTCCCACTACTTGGGAGTTTCTTAGAGACCGACACGTGCGCTACTCAAATTTGATTATTCACGTGCTGGATCAACACTCCATTCGCCACCGCCCTAGATGTCAGTTTATGCCCATTGGTGTAGCGTTATCGCACTCTTATTGTGGATTCAATCTTCGCCGTCGGATTCCGCAGATCGACGTCCAGGATACACTCTGGCATTATCTACAGTGGGCAATTTTATTTTAATGCACTTCATTAGTCTAACTTATGACACCCGCAATACACTCCATAGCCATATCATTTTTCTACCAAGATGAAGGGAAGTTTCTACCAAGCTGAACGATAAACCTAGCCAACATTTCGCTACGGAAAACAGTATTACGGGCAGCTTGAGCGTCAGGAACTGTGCATGTCTTGAGAGAGAGAGAGAGAGAGAGAGAGAGAGAGAGAGAGAGAGAGAGAGAGAGAGAGAGAGAGAGAGAGAGGAGAGAGAGAGAGAGAGAGAGAGAGAGAGAGAGAGAGAGAGAGAGAGGGAGAGAGAGAGAGAGAGAGAGAGAGAGAGAGAGAGAGAGAGAGAGAGAGAGAGAGAGAGAGAGAGGAAAAAAAAAAAAAAACCTAATAATAAGTCCCTGGACATGCAAAAATGGCTTCGTCAGTGACAGCAAGCAAAAGCTAATTCGTATTCGCGAACCAGCATATACCTTCCTTCTCTCTGCTAAGCATTCCGTGCTACACATATCTGCTGAGCTAGTCATTCTTGAAACAGCAATGAACATAGCGGACAAGAGAGTTCACAGGATGATTGGGCTATACCAGCCAGTATTTGTAAGTACGTTTTTTTTTTTTTTTTTTTTTTTTTTTGTGCTGGCGTAAGGATAAACTCGAGTGATGATTGGCTCGCCCAGTTTCGTAGTGTATGCGATTGGTGGGTATTGCATGCCTGGTTCGGATGATGCGTGACGTGTCATGCATGTTCTGAGTGACAGCAAGTCTCCCCCCCTCCGCCACCCCCCAAAACCAGTCGTTGAACTCTTCGCCTGCACCTCTTTTTGTTAATTGTTGTCGTCATCCAATGGTATAACTCGGTTGGTGGTGCCGTGTCTCGATGTTTCTCGTTTCCCTTATGGTGTCACTGAACTTGTGTGCCAGTTTTTACAGTTACAGATCGTCGGGTTCGATGGTATTTCACATGCAGTCACGAACTGTTTTGTTTTCGACTGTTGCTTCGTCAACTTCGCTGGACCCGAGTTCATGTCATGGTAAGCAGAACCAATCTGAAACGCTTTTGACCGCCCGATCACGCCTCAAACCATTGGGTACACTTTTGGGTGAGGAAAAATGGCTGACGCGGTGTAGAAGCAATTCGGCACATCTTTGGGTGAGGCGCACATTTTTGTGTGAGCCGCGTTTCCAATGGGCATTGTGGCAGCAAAATTTGTTGCCCTCGTGGTCCGTCGAGCGTGGCGCATTGGTCCAAGTCACCAAAAGTCACATTTATGAACCTGTAATGTGTCCCTTCCGTCACATCTTCGCGCATCACACAAATGTCCCTTTTTCTCTGAGCTTTTCCGAAGCCTTTTCGAAGGAAAAGCTACCATGCTCAAATTTCCTGCAAAAACTTTTCCGCGATGGGGTCACTCGTCATAAGAGCGCGCCGTGAAGACAGGAGCGGCTCCAACTTTCAATATCATACAAGACGCACGCGAGGTGCCCACGCGGCAGCCGCATGGCTCTTGATTGGCCCCTCTCGCTCGCGCGGCAGGTTTCGGATAGAGTTCGAAATGTCGGGGGGCTGCGGCGACAGTATTTTCGAGTCATTCCGAAATTTCTTGGTGCGCTGTAGCCATGTGGCTCTTTTTCCGTAATCGCATGCCATGCCAAATCATCGTCGGCACGGCTCCTCCTCCGATCGGATCAGACTCGCGGAACCCCATTCTGAGGCTCCAGACATGCATCCCTAAGGAACATTTTGGGACAGAAAAGGGTTCAACCCTAGAAATGTGCTTGCATTCCGGATTACATGCTGCAGACGCGCTCATTGGCAGTGCTGATCTGACCCGTCCCAGATATCGAGGCGCCGAGAAAATTATCGTTGTAACGTTTTTAGCAGTGGTGGTTTTTATGGTCGCCATCGTTTCTTTCTATAGCATATCGCAAGCCCTTCTCGTGTCTTTTGACCGCAGGGTTTTCGCGGCCCGCCAAATTTTAGGCTGTCCAGGCGTCGAAATGTTTTTTTTCCGGGGTTTTTCTCTCCTTTTTGGGTCTTCCATCGTACTTCAAACGATCTCGTCGATTCGCCGACAAGTCGACAAAATTTGGAGAACTTAAGCGCCGAAACTGACCGTGGGAACAAAATGTGCAATATCTTGTTGGAAAGCCCTCATAGTAAGGATTCAGCAGCGATAGACAGATCGTCATTCGGAGATCGGAGCTTGGAGTTACGCTCCATAAACCAGGAGGGGGTAGCACTGCCGACATCGCCCCGGTCGACATCGACACCATTTCCGCAGTCGTCGCCACTTCCCTCACCACTGCCGCCACCACCGCCGCAGCCGCCGATGCGGACGCCGGACAAGGAGCAGGACAAGGGTGATGAGAAATGGGAGAGTGCACCAAAGTTTGATGGGAATGATTATTAGACTTGGAGCTTCCGGTTCGAGCAATGTGCGGAAGCATATGATATTTGGGGATTCTGTGATGGTTGAGAGGGGCGGCCAACCTCGGGCGATGCACGGGGGAAGTGGGACACGAGAAATCAGTTATGCAATGCCTTGTTACCGGATGAGCTAATTCGCCTCGTACGTAAGTTTGGGGGCAAAACTGAGTTTGCCGACGCTGCTGCCGACGGGGAGGTGAGAGCTGTCACTCGCACTCCTGCACGAACAGCAGAGGCATACAAATGAGTGCATGATTTCTACCTGCAGCGCAAACTGTACAATAGGATGGCACTCTCAGAAGAGCTTTCTTCCTTGAAAATGAAGGAGGGCGAAGGTGCAATGGGCTCATGCCGCGGACTTGAGGTCCAAGTACTTCGAGGCGGGGGGAAGGAAGAGGTTGAGGAATGGATGATGAGGATACTGAAGGGGCTCTCACCTCAATTTGAGATGCTCAAAGTGATCCTCAGCAACCAGTCATCCTCACTCTCCAATTATCAGTTGTTGACCTCCCTGAGAAGTGAGGAGATGCGCATTGGTGCGGCGCCGACGAGTGATGGTGCAGCCATATTTGGAGCAGCCTCTTAGGGAAGGGGAGATGGCAGCAGCAACCGGAATAGGGGAGCGGGACAAGGAAGCTGTAGCAGAAACAACAGCATGGGTCAAGGGGGTCCGCTGACGAGCGTTGACAACACCCACATTCCCTTGGGGGTCGAAGGGTTTGGCGCCATGAGGATTGCGTCATTGGTGTTGGAATGAGGGGCATGCATGGCAGCGTTGCCCTCACAGGCCCAAAAATGCGATACCAACCTTCCTAAAAATGACCGGGTGGGTTCAGAGGCAAGGCACGAGTAGCGGATGAGGAGGCGCTGGAGGACCAGGCAGAGGTCGCTGTTGGTGAAGCAGTGGCAGCGGCCGGGCAGCAGGCAGCAGCAGAAAGGCAGCCGCGAGATGGGTGGTGGATTGACAATGGATCCAGCCACAACTTCACCCCCTATGTGACCGACTTCCAGAGTAAGCTCGGCCCACCTGAGATTAGAGGAATGCGATTGGGGGATGGACGGATGGTCAGTGCTAAGGGTATGGGTGAGGTACTACTGCTTGATGAAGGGGGTCAATTATTAAGGCTGCAAAAGGTGCACCATGTGCCTGAGATGCACACCCCCCTCCTGTCTGTCCCACACCTCACCGCTAGGGGAGTTACAGTAATGTTTGAGGGCACACATTATGTGCTCAAGAGGGGGGAGTGGGTGTTGGCGACTAGAGAGAAAGAGGGTGGCAGGGATCATGGTTTGGTGAGGATGCAGTTTCACTGGCTCGGGGAAACCAAGGAAATGCTATTGCTGCTTGCCCACTCACATCTCTCTCTCCTCTCACTCTCGCCCACCGACTTGGTCACACTGCGTCGAAAACACTTCAGCAGATGGCCAGGGGCAGTAGTGTCATTGAACTGGATATTGGGGGGGTCGATGGGGATTGCCCCCCTTGTGAAACATGCTTATTGGGGAAGTCGGCAAGGAAGCCGTTTCCTCATGAGGCATCACGGGCCCTTGGACCCTTGGATGAGGTTCACGTGGACTTGTGGGGGCCCTATGCGCACGCCGTTCTTGGGAGGGGCGGTGTACGTACTCAGCCTCATTTACGACTTCACCAGACGGGTTTAGGCATTCCCCCTGCTCAACAAGGAATCTGCCATTATGGCCATTGCTCTTCGCAAGTGGCACAAGGATGTGGAGCAGGAGTCTGGCCATCAGTTGAAGGCGCTTCACTCCGACAGGGGTGGCGAGTTCCTAGGGGAAGCAGTGAAGGCCTGGAAGAGTGAGTTCGGCATTCAAACTCACCTGACTGTAGCAGACTTGCAGCATCGCTACTTAACAAGCCCTTTTAACTCAGTGGTTAGTGACTGAGTTCTGATATGGTATTGGAGCTGGGTGACCGCCCGGGTTCATTTCCCATTGAGCACCAGAGAGGTGGCAGTGCTGCAGAGGCGCTTGTGTCTTCCACCTACCCTAGTGAGGGGGGGTGTCATGATACACGCAGGGGTTGCC